ATCAGATAGCGCGAGAGGGAGCAGCGATTGGAAGAAAACGTTAATGCAAAGCCCCCGTTGACGGTGTGAAACTACACGAGCCAACGATAATGCGGAGGCAACTCCGTATAGGCTAGGCTTAGACGCTGATGGATTCTGTAATATCGTGGCCGTTTATTCGACTACTGAAGAAGTGGTCTTCTCTTCCCAGCCGGACATATGTCATGCGACAAACGACGCTGTAAATGCCTTCAGTTCACTTTATGCTATAAACCATGTGCTTCGTAATACTCTTTTCACCATTCGTCCGTTTCTTCGTTGGATTACGTTCGCGACGCCGAAGGCTTACCAGCTAGCTGGTCTGGCCACTGCGATGCTGTTCCACCAAGTCGCTGACTGTTTATTAGACAGATCTGTCAACATACTATATCTCAAGTGACGATGCATCTCGATTTTGCTCGCCACTCGTTTTCAATATCTCCCTAATTCTTCTGTTTCTACGTTTTTTTACAACGATGAAAAATCGTCGATGCTTTAAATTTGTTACATCTTCGTGTGACAATGCACTCGGTCTTATTTTAAAACGTAAGTACAATCCACTTTGACTGTTCTAATTTTAAGTGGGAAAGTAAAGAGTACTTTTATCCTCGGAAGTTGTAAAAATTTAAACATCTGCAGGAACATTGAACAATTTTCTTCAGGACACCATGGAGTTGAAAATTGAAATTTTTTTCTTTACGACTTCTTAAAACCTTGCTGTAGCCTTGAGTTCTTTTTGGCAGAAAAAGAACTGTTGAGAGAAACGTGAAATGTTAAGATTTCTTGAATTTTTCAAAATTGTCAATAAAAAGAAGAACACTTTTCCATTTGCTATACGTGATGTTAAAATATTTTTGGGGAAAAGCACGAATTCAGAGTTTTACACTTTCAAACGAGACCAAGTATATTGTTACACGATTTACTTCAACGAAATTATAACAGTTTAAACTATCTTCATTTAAATTAATCTGCAAAAGCAGTTTTGTATCTATCAGAATAGTGATGGCAGAATTTTCGTGAGTGATCCAGAACATCCTACAAAACACTGCATATTTCACTTTTATCGTACTCTGCGCGCAAACACTTGATAAAATATTATTTGTGCTAAAATTCCACGTGCGTGTTCAGTTTCGCTCGTCACTGTATACATTACCAACTGCCAGGAATAAAAATTACTCGTCAGACTCGTCGTAGATTTCCACGTTTCTAATTTTAATCGAACAAAAGTCATTTTGCTTGCTGAAAATCTCGATTTCATACCGAAAAGAAAAAACATAAAGATTCTTCTACAACGGTTGAAAAGTTGCTCGAAGGAAATTCCATTTTCGCGTGGAAAACATCCGAAATATCGCCGGTTCTCGCGTACACACTGATCCCAAAGATCCCGTCTACTCCGAATCAGATTAGAAGGGTGCAGCTTGGGATGATTTAATTAAAGGATCGAACAGCGGCAATAAAGTCGAAACAAACGCTTGACCTCGCGCGGCCGAGTGTCGAAACGACACGAACAGGGAGGAACGAAATTGTCCGGCGTCTGCGCAACGGATGGGAACAGATCGGCGCCAGCTGAAACAGTTGCACGCAGCAAGCTAGACAAATATGTGTATCCACGTATCTCCACGCTGGAAATGCCTATTATCGGCAGATTAAACGGTACAATTTCAGATCTCGAGTGGTACTTGGGTACTCGATTCGCTGATTTATGTCGACTGTCGTATTAAACGATCGTTCCCGGGCTCTACACAGCATCGTCCATGACCGATGAAAAACCGACCGAGTTATTTCGACGAGATCGTATACACCGGAGGCACGCTGCCGGATGCCTCGTCCACGTTCGAAAACGTAGAAAAAAAGAGAAACGGGAATAAAATAAAAGAGAAAAAAAGAAAAAAAAAAAGAAAAAAATCAAACAACAAAGGAAACGAAAGAGATGGGGAAATTATGGCTCGCTTTTACGAGCGTTTCCAACCGCATTAGTCGCATGACAGCGTGTTACACACTACATGCCGGCTAATTATTAATGTTACGGTTATTACCGCTACATTCGCCGCGGTTACGAGCCATAAAGTAACGTTTTATCGATACGTAAAACGTGTTTCACCGGAATGGTTGATTGATCCTCTTAAACCGCTTTTAAATGCTGACCAGCCACCGCCAACGCCTAATGAAAAGCAACACGTCCAGCTGGATACGTCAGCGTGTCATTGCCGGAAGAACACGCATACCGGGATATTAATAATCTGTCATTTCGTTTTAATTGATTTTAACGAGTTTCTCGGCGCGATTGGCAAGCGTTTTTAGATAATTCGTTCGGCTGTTAATTCGCTCTAATGAAACGGACGCGTGGGAAATAAGATCCGTGCGAAGGCATTTCTGAATATTTAAAGAGCAATATGTGTTTATTAAATTTCGCGGTATCCGGTTACGTGCGAAATTATCTAACTGTTCGTGCAGGTTAAACTGGAATTTTTCGACTGAAAAATTTCAAATTGAAAATTAATACGAACATAATGCAACGCGTGAGCGTGAATTTGGAAAATTTATAGAGCCATTAAATTCGAATATTATTAATTATTTTATATCTAAGTAACCATGCCCGCGAATAAGTTTCTGGTTTCACAGTCGTTAATTCCGTGGTAGTCGAGTCATAAATTTAACATGAATGCTAATTAGATTCGAAAGATATTATCAATATATCACGACACGCGTAACACTTTCGCAAATATACCAAACTAGTATTAAAATTAAATTCGTCGTTTAAAGTAACAGTACAAGCCATCCAGACGTAAAAATCCCACCTTCAGAGCTTCATCGTCGCTTTTCAATTACTGTCGTGTGATTTGCAACGCGAGTTACGAATTACGAAACGAAACGGCTCTTCAGTCATTGTCACCATTATAAAATGCATCTACGGTTGTTTAACGTCGTACCTTTGATCTTGCTGAAAACGACTAATTTGTAATTTTAGATAAAAATTTCATAGTTCATTAAGATAAGAATCCATTGACGGGAAGCTTTACAAAATAACCAGACACGTGTACGAGATGAAAATTTTCCCCTATTCTTCGCAAATTTTACACTTTGTTTCACCAGCTGATAGTTCCAGTGTAACGTTACCGCGTCTCGCTACAATGTTCGCACGTTGCACGAGCCGATTCTTTTTCAGCCATAGCATCCGCGGCCTACCCTGGTTCGATTTAAGAATTCCTCCGGCTGATAGATGTTATTAGCTGAAGGTTCGTGTTCATCCATTACCAGCCTTCATAGACGGAAATTTATTCGTCGTCTCTATACCTTCTTGACTGAGGTGCCGTTCCGCGAGCTCCTCGCTACTCGGAATATGAGAGCTCACGTATAGTCGGCACCTCCTTACAGGCAGGCCAAGAGAAAAACCTGGAATTAATATTTCTTTCTGCGCTCGCCTCCTCCCCATCCACGCCCCACCTATCCACTCTTTCCCTCCTCGCTCGTTTTCTAAGGCGAATTCTCCGAGAAACTGTGAAAAGAATTTAAATTCCGCAGCCCGCGTTCTTATAACGGGCCGCTGCTACGAAGGCTATGTGTCATATTAAAAAGTTCAGCGGAGGTCTTCCGCTGACGTTTATTTCTTCAGCCCTCGGTGATAATACGACGCGAGAATTTTCATGGCTTTATCTGACAATTTGACCCGGCCTCGCCCTGGCTGTCTAATCAACCGCGAGATTGATCGTTCATGTTAAATTCATCGGTATCATTACGGGCGAGTGCAAGCATGCGCTATTTATTCTTCGATTCGACCGTGAAACAGTAACTTGCTCTTTCTTCTTCGTGGCGTACGCGGTGAAAAGGAAGTCGCGGAGAAAGGACTTAAACAGACTATGACGAGTGAAAATAGCTTTCGCTGTTGTTGATTGCGTAATAGTTTCATCTTGCTGTGCACTGATATTATTCCGCGTTTAAACATCCCTGTTTTGTTTCAAAATACAGAATATTAAACATTAAATAAAATTGTGCAGTCTGAATCCATTAACCACTTGCGCTGGCAACTGGATTGCGGACCATAACGAGCGACCAAACCGTATACAACAATTCGTCGCTTTCTTTTCGAACTCGTCACTGAGAAGTAATAAATTTATTATTTGTTTTGCCTATATTGTTTCACTTAAATATACTCAAAACTGAGAAAATGTTACAATTTTGGAACAAAAAAAATTCTCGACGTGCGTGGCACGTCGTTCCAGCGCAAAAGGTTAAGCTTCATCTTGAAAATAATAGCTGATAAAAATTGCGCAACTATCTAACAAATATCTATGACTCGTGTCCCTTGTTTGTCAATTAATCACGAAACAAAATTTATCAGAGCTCGTCAATACAGCCTATTTGAATCTAACATGGAAGGAACGAAAGTGGATGATGGATGAGACTAATTTAATATAGCAAGAACATATCTCGAATAGACGTGACCGTTGAAAGGTATATAGTTGCGATCTCTATACCATTTCGATATTCATAAATCCGTTTCCGCGTCTCGCTTATGATACTATCAACGTATGTATTGTACGTGTCATTATGGTGGCACTGATAATTTACTAGAATGGTATTACGTGCCGTTCGATATATTATTTGGAATATCTTTACGGCAGAGTTGCCCGCGCGAAACGGGACGTAAGATGTATTTTTCGAATAAATCGATCCCCAAGTAGGCGGATATATCCAAGACATATTGAACGCTTTAGTGCTAGAATCTGAAATCTGAAATCAGTGAGGTTTTATTTATGGACCCATCTGGAGTCAATGGCTTCAAAAAGAATGAAAGTTATGGTGCAACCGCTGCAATCAATTTCATACGAGTTACTAGTAGTAGAGAGTTACTTTGTTCGAGATTCACAGAACGTATTTTCTTCCATTTTTTTTAATTTTCTTTCTCTTTTCTGTCAATTTTTCTATCAACTATGTATTTCGTGGAATCATTTTTAACTGGAGTGATTTTCTGTTTGTTTCAGAACTGATTCACAAGTGCCAGCCATTGCCTTAACACTGGTAAGTCTACAATTTCACGTTCGATTAAAATTAATTCATAATTAAACGATCGTTGCAAAGGAAACGACTTTATTAATTAATAATGCACGGAATATGATGGAACGTATTGTAAAATAAATGTTTCATCTTTCGCAATGCATCGATTATTATTCGTCTTTCGAATTATTCAATATTATTCATAACTTATTATTGATGAAGACCGATTTCAGTCGAACGATCATCAACTGATTAATCAGTGTATCCTGCGACAAATTAATCATTACGTATGTACGTCGTGTACCTCAGCGAACATAAAAATTCACATTTTTTTTTTTGTACGCAAAAAATTAAAACGAAAGAAACATCGCCGAAACCAAAATCCAGTCGCGGAACGATGAATTCAAATTCCCTTCTTCGTTACGCCGGCCGTAATTTTCAATCTTTCGTTTCATTCGTCGTCTCGGATGCAATTATTAAAGTTTGATAAATGTAATATCGCCGGCCCGAAGCGTTTTCGTCGCAAAGATAAATGACGAGGGAGAAGCTCGTAATAAGCAGCCGGCGGTTTCTTCAACCGGGGCCGACTCTTCTTTGTTCTCGCGTCGCGTCAACGCGAGCTTACATCTTCTTTCCACGAAATAAAGAAACGCTTTATCGCGACGGTAACTAAAGGGAATTTCCGTCATCCGGCCCGACGTCTTGACACATGACTCCTTAAAGTTTACTCGCACGAAAGTGCAGTTTAGATTTCTCTTCCTGGCGCGAGATCTCCTGACAGTCGTTCCAGTCCTTTTATACCCCCGAACGGATTCGCCTTGTTCATTTTCTCATTCGATCGCCTCGCACGTTTCACACCCACTGTCCTCAACCAACTGTCGATAACTGTAGGCCAAAATGAACGAACGATTCGAATGAAAACAGTTGATTGGTATTGTAGTTTCATCGAGACGTTTATTTATCGTTCTTCGACCATTCGCCGTTTCGAACGAAAATTATACATCGATATTGCAACGACAGGTTACCTTCGTTGTTAAGTATTTGAAAAAAGGCGATTTTTATTCTGTACGAAATAAAAATCGGCAAATATAAATCTACGAAGTGTAAGGAGACAGAAGTATTAAATACGCGAATGAATATACGTGTACATACGTTTAAACTACTTTTTTTTACCGCTGAAAATCGACGCAGGACGATATCGAGATTCACCTGATAATACATTAACATAGTGTTAACAACATCTGTAAAAGTATAAATATTTAATTTATAAATGTTTCTATAAATCATCGATTTATACAAATAACAAATCTCAAGACAAATTATAACAAAAGTTTAGTAACATAATAATTATATTTTCCAAACGAAAGTAAAATCAAGCTTTGGCAGAAAATACAACGTTTTTAAAGATATTCCAGAAATACTGACGAATTACGATATTTTTTATTTTATAAATCAGTCAGAGCTGAGATAAAAAATTATCTCGCAAACTTTGGTAGAAAATGTATGTTATCTGTAAATTAATAAACTAAAGTGTATCTTACTTTATAAATCAATTTTAATTCTACGCATGCGCTGTAACTTTCTTCTTTCAACGTAGGTGTGTGTAACATTTTGTCGTCGCCTATTGAAAGTTCGTATCACGTTCCTTATCGTTGGCGTAACTAATTTCACCGCGTGAATTAAATCGCGTGCGCGGCAAGTTAGCGGCTGCGATCGGGAGATCGGGTTGGCTGGATTGGCATGATTTCAAGATACGTAAGGAGCTACTACTAATTCAGACGTTTCGACTGATGGGCCAAATTACGCGATACGTGGCGCCACGCACGCTTCTATTTGCCCCGGAGTCGATACGCGAGGAATTGTCAATTTGCTCCTTTTAATGAGGATTCAACTCGATTACGTAGGACGGCGCCGTTCCGCGGATGTAATCGATTTATTTGATCGTTGATCGAGTTTCCAGAATAATTATGCCACTGTGACAATTTGATATGAACCTTGCGTGCATTAATCTTGCGTTTTTTGGCTTTTGTCCAAGCCGGAAATCAAAAGCAACCAGCGGTAATCCAGCAATCTCGCGCACAACAAAATCGTGATCGGCGAAAGCCACGGGAACGTACCGAAGTCACTTGATTCCGAAATTTGGCGTAAATGTGGCTTTCGAAAAGATATTCAACCCGTATTCTTTATTTTTTCTTTTTTATCAAAGTTGGGGGTGCGGAATATATTTTGTCAAATACATTGTTAATAATATTGAGAAAAATTTCAAGTGGAATCTGACCTACTACGTTTTCGTCGAAATTAAATTCTCCTTCGTCAACAATAAAGAGGTAATTAAATCTCGATTAATGCGTTCGAGTTCACAGAGATAGCGATTCATTTGTATCCATTTGGATTCGTTCAGTTATCATTTTACGATTGACGCGGTTACAATGCGAAATATGGAGAATGCTCGAGTCAAATTCGATTCAATTTGAACGCGATATTAATTTAAAATGACACGGATATTCCTGCAGGATCAAGTGCTATCCGCTCGTTCGTTCCTAAGTGGCTAATAAATTTCGTCGAAAATCTGTTCCACGAAAGTCTGACGTTTTCACAGTTGTCGTCTCATCAATAAATATCGCGATATTTGGGAATATTTATTGAAAAATAAGTAATAATCCAACTGATGAATATTCTTCTTTCGTGTCACGCGATGCGATCGAAACGTCAATATATGCCCGATTACGTTCGTAATAATGCAAGCAATTAAGTTATATTTACTTTCAATTTATATCGTTTACGGTTCGACCAAGTCCCGGTAATCAAACTTGTACAGCGCCGCAATTACCCCGGCGTTTGGCAGCTGCTGTACGAGTGCGTTCGTTAAACAGCGATTACCACCGCGGCATATGTATGTTGATAATAAAAGTAAAACATCAACGCGATCGATGACCGCGCGTCTACGTTTGTCCGTAAGATCGTTAATCAACAATAATGGCATTACCTGCCAAATAGCATTTTACTTCTCCACGCGTCGATTAATAGTAGACGTCGTATCGTAAATTTGTCATTTCTTTAGAGCCGGTTGTTAAAAACTTGTTCTGCCGATATCCTTTGTGCTTTTCATTAAAAATTGATGAAATAATTAAACGATATTCATTGCAGCCTGGAGCCTCTCGATCGCCGAAACGAAATGTTATTCAATTTATGAAATAAACAGCATTTCATAAACAAATCGAACGCTTTGTGAATGCACCCCGAATGCTCAGAATATTCAGTTAAATTTTAATTTATCCGATTAAATGCCGATCGATCGTGTAACGTATAATTGACAAAGTTCGAAATATTCGTTTCAGAATGTTTCCATTTCCTATCGTTAACCAGCGGTAATCTTCAAAAAAAAATAGTGGCTCGATTTAATCTCTAATTATCATCGTGATCAGTATAATCGACCGGGGAAGAATGTAACAGGAAAGAATTCAAATCTTTCACGTTCACATAAAACATACGGTGGCGCGTATTTTTAGGAGTCAGTTGAAGTAAGATAAGGAGAAAGAGGGCAGAAGGATCGACTCGAGGCCAGAGCGAACGAATAGGGGCAGAAAAGAACGAGTGTAGACGAGAGAACGAGAGGGAGGCACGATCGAAATGGCGGAGGACAAGAAAAAGACGGAGGTGGCTGGCAGGAGAGCATCTCGTTTCCACCAGGCGTTTCTGCAAAGATATCTCGAGTGGCGGTGTAACGCGGTAGGACGGCGCGTAATTAACGCCTCATGTAGATGGTATCGTGTTGTGGACGATCCGCGTGACGACCGGTGATGTACGGCCTCGCTGCTGTAATGGAATATTATTATCGGTCAGCATCAACTCGTTGAGTTAGTGGCGGCGTAGCGGGTACCGACATTGCCAACGAGACGACGGGACGCAATACGGACGCGAGGCGATTCCGATTGCTCGCGGTTCGAGAAAACCGAGCGCGACGATTGCCGATGACGATTCGTGGACGCAGCCGTGCGTTGCGAGCTACCATGCAACAGTGAATGGTTCCTTGGAAGCAAACCGCGGCAAGACAAGCCGATTCATCTCTTTGGGAGACTTTCGCTGTCCCAGGTGCTCGATCATCCGGCGGCGACCGAGCGAAATATACTGCATTCTGCAGATCGCCAGACTCGCGGAAGTGGCTAAGGGATGAAGAATCTTAACGGGACCGGGCGAGAGCGTGCGATCCGTTTCGAACACGGAAAACAGGATTACTCTTACCGTGAGATATATTGAATTTGGCGTGCGCCCGGCGAAATGACGCGCGACATCGAACTGATCCCGGCAGACGGGAGTTTTTCGATTAAGAAGCTAGAAAATGATCAAACTTCGTTTTCGACGAACTTTGTTCCATCAGCAGTTCGATTTGCTTATCTCGTTACGCAGTGTGATTTTTTTTTTCCTTCTCCTATTTTCTCCTCCTCCTCCTCCTCTTCTTCTTTTTCTTTTTTTTTTTTTTTTCTTTAAACGAGCCTCGAGTTTCAAACTTAATTACCGCGGCCCCGGCGCGACAGTAATCTCAAAACAATTTAACGAGCTTGCCTTGAAAACTTTATCTGGGACAATCGGCATAAAGGGCTCGGTGTCGCCAGCTACCAGCAGTTGCACGGCCAAGACGTTCCGACCACGCGACGAAGACAATGGCCACAGCCAGTCGGATCTCTTTTCTCGTCTTCTTCTTCCCACCCGCCTCTGCGAGAGAAAACGGCGGTATGAGAGAGCGGGCATTGTGCGAAAACTCGCTGTCGAACTCTGCCGACTTCTTAAAAAGCCGTAAAAGACCTCGGCCGGAGGTTCTGTCCACAACTGACGAGGATGTCCTTTCGCGACACCAATCCACGTTGCCTGGAAAATTGACGTCGAGGGCGATTTTTCTAAGCTGTTTTTCTTTCTCTCTTTTTTTCACCGTCCGACGCACTTTAACCCTCCACTATCCTCCTCGTCCCACTATCTTTTATTACGATTGCCTTTTCGAGCATGATTGATAGCTCTGCATCTAAACG